TTCTTGATATCATACGTCCTAATCTTGGACAGAGCTTAAAACACCTCAAAAACACGTGTTTTACTTGAAAAACACGGGCCTGTATTGTGTTACACTCTCTCTCTATATATATATATATATCATGAGGATGGCTATAGTGAACTTTGAGTATGGTAAGTATGGGCTTCAGCAGAGAAGCAGCACATGCGATGCTCAGCACGGTTGCTTGGCAAGGCCATCCATGAGATGAAGCAGCATGGTATGGCTTCAAGAAGCAAGTGAGTTCAGACTGAAAGTAATCAAACAGCGCGAGAGTAATTCTGTCTCCTCTCATCAGCCCAAGCTTCTGCAAGATTCTGCAAGTATCTTCCTAAGTGTTGGTCCGCTTGACATTCTCTTGGACATGTTGATTGCGAGCCTGTCATTTTTGCCAGAAGCAGATTGCGATAGTCCGGTGCAGCATTGGGCTTCTTTAGGTTCCAATGATCCAAGAAACATTGCACCCATGATGCCGCCGCGCACGCTGACGCGAGCGGTCTTTGGATGGCAGCTTTGAGGCATCGGTGCATGCTTCAGGTTAAGAGTCCATGAAGGGAGTTGATCTGATACCTGTACTTCCCGAGTGATGGGGAGCCACCCTACATCCTGCTCCGTTCAAGCAGAATGAGAAGCGCACGGCGAGTTGCAGTCTGGTCTGACCATGGAAAGGGCATGTCTCCGCGTGTGATGTCGCAGGGGCGGCCTTGGATTTCGCATCGCGGCTTTTCTCTTCCTCTGCATCTTCGCATGCTGTATCGCGACGGCAGGGGTTCGGGATAACAGCAGGGTAAGGCAGAATGTTCTTGCTCAGGCTTCCTTCATTTGATCCATTTGTAGCGTGGAAAACTGGACTCCCTGAACACAACATGCACTGCAAGCTTATGCGCGTGCAATTCGCTTGACCGCTGCAGTCCTAATCACTTCGTCCGAGACCCCTGAGACCGTGTCGCAAAAATTTTCTCCTGCTGGTCTGACTAGTGCCGGTGTCGGATTTTGCAGACACCTCCCTCCAACACTACTCTGCAGAAGTATATTATAGTATATTATAGTATATTGTACTATGTTATATTAGTTATATTGTATTACATATATGATATAAGGTGCCTCAAACTCTATAGGCGTTGCGACAGCTTTCTCCAGCTGAGGCTTCCTGCTGCTGACGTTTCAACTGGATCGAGCCGCTTGCCCGGCTCTGTTACACAATCCGATCTTCTTATAGTGAAAATCTGTTCGAAGACCTCAGAACTCCGGCTGTTCCTTGTCTGAAGTGCCCTTGCCAGAGTTGTCAACCTCTGAACACTGTCGTGTAGTGATGAAAAATTTCAAAAAGGCAGCTCCCGACCAAACCCGGGGAGCTGAATCAACCTCGCCTGCACCAAGTCATCCCCGCACAAGCATGGTAAGCCCAACTTATGGCTGTGCCACTCTTGCTTAGATTGAGGGGCCAAGCAGGTACCGTAAAGTAAGACGCTCCACGCCTCTCTTAAGCTCTTTGGTTCCGCCAGGCTTTCGTAACGGTTTCTCAGAGGTTGCTACAAGGATTACTCTCGGGGTTCTTTAAGAGTTACTTTGGTAAACATGACTTCTTACGATTGCTGCAGGGTTTTGGGGTTTCGAGGGTACTACTGTAAATCCAGGGCTTATATGGCATATATATATATTCATGTATATGTATATATCATATATGAAAAAGTATAAAGCGCATCTGTCCGGGATGCTCAGGAAGAACTCCTCGGGCCCCCAGCGTGGCGACTGACTGCCACTTTGCCTGCACCGGCTTATACACTCTGCGGATTTCGCTTAGGGTGTTTTCTTTGGTGCCTGTGTGTTCTTCCTTTCATGTAGTTGTACATAGGAAGGAAGCCTCTATACCAGCTACAGCCGCTGAGGGTGAACCTTCTGAACGCAGTGACTCTCACATGTGCATTCATGCGTGTGCAGCTCTCTGTCTGCCTGCCTGTCTGTCTGTCTGTCTGTCTGCCTGCCTGCCTGCCTGGCTGTCTGTCTGTCTGTCTGTCTGTCTGTCGTCTGCCCATCTATCTATGTCGCTCTGTCTGCGTCTGTCTATGTCTCCGTCTCCGGCATGGATGGACGGATGGATGGATGAGTGTCTGTATGCGCACATTCCTGCAATAAACGACACATGAGCATGTGTAGCCCAGGGGCAGGCAAGCAGGCACATGTTGGCAGTCGCTCGTTCGGAAGCGATGGACAAATGTCAAAGCGAGAAGGTTCGACAGTGCTTGAACTGGAGTTCGAACGTCTCTAAACACGTTTGAAAATCGCTGGGCAACGCTGTTTTGAACTTCTTACGGCCTCATTGGCAATAAAGCCAGTGGACCCTTAATGCGTTTACTATGCTTCGATGCTCATGCAAAATCGCCTGCTTGCTATCCTGCCAACATGCAGAGGCTGGAGGCCCTAAACCAGTTGCCTTGAGCGAGTGTGCCTGTGGAAACCATGCTATTTAAGAGGTCCGACAGGCGTTTCGGAGGCTGCGCTCCTTTTCATCGAGACCCGGAGAGCCTCGCATCCTCGCATGAAAGACCAGTTCACGTCTTCAGGCCTCAGGCCCGAAGGCCCCAACTCTCAGCCAAACTGCGGAAACCCTACCATGCTCACGTAGATCATCAGCACGCAGCCCTGTGATGATCATCATATCATATGTTATCAGTTGTTTCTGTAGTCTTCTTCTTACTCGTAGCCGGCTCGCAGGTGAAACTTGGCCGAATCCGGGCGCCACCGAAGAAAACTCGGTGCATGGGCAGCAAGATGTCAAGCTGGCTCCGCAAACCCTGCACTTCCTAAACTCCTGAACAGCTGTACGCATGTAAAGAGCCCGGTTAGAAGAGAGACAAGCAGCAAACACAGTACTCAAAATACCACCAATTAGCTCCCCAAATCCATCATGTGGTTATACTGCGACACATTACCTGCTTTTAATTAGGGCTGGAGCTTTTGGGGATGTTCCGAGAGCGATCATTTAGGCATGGCCTGCCAGGAAATCTGGGCCAGGGTTTGGGATATGGTTATTAGGGTTATATTGTCTTCGATAGAGTACGTAATTACATAAGATGCCTAAGGACCAACCAGCATATATGACTGGATATATGTATATATATATATAACCAGTATAGAGAGAGAGAGAGAGAGAGAGAGAGAGAAAAAAACAAAGTCGGGTAGAATAGCAACAATCTCTACATATCCCTCCCTATTATCCACATATCAATTACTATCATGTGCCCCAAACCTTGTATTAACCTTAGTATTTCGTATCCTCTGTTGTATGGCTCTCCTGTATGTCTTAAGAGCCCACTTACGTTTCTTCAACGATGCGAACCTACTTCTTAGCAGGACCACTATAGTTTAATTCCGCAAAAAATTGCGAGAAACAGGTTCCGAAAGTTGGCCTCAAAGCACAGGATTCCCCAGCAGTTGGTCCTCACTTCGAAGGACCGGAATGTTTCATCGAGGGCTCAAAGGGAGCACGTACAGTAACAAGGATGATGTTAGTGATGGTCATAGCAGTACTACTATTCATACCAGTGATATTAGTTGCAATCGTCATAACCGAAAGGTCTACTAGAGTCTCTGGCTCGCATGCTAGAGAAGTCTGTGGGAAGTGGGCTTTCCGATTCATTCAAGCTTTGGCTGACCACATCAGGGCTTCGACCACATTCGGTAACTCGGAAACTAGAGACAATGAGTTGAGACGATGGGAAGTTCGAGATTTGTGTGCTCGTGTGTTGCGACCCGGCTGTGTGGTCAGACCGATGCATCCTGCAGGGATGATGTCTAGGAGAAGCTGCTATCGCAGCATCTGGACTGCTGAAGCAAGCAGTGAGTACCAAGAGTTACAGCGACCTTACAAACTCCACATCTACGGGGCGTTGGCTTGCGAGTGTTGCTGCAGCTGACAGTTGAGCCTCTACTTGAAGCGTGGCACAGAGAAGAGCCGCAGTGTTGCGCTAGCCATGAGGCTGACAGCATGTGCAAAGAGCATTGCGCTTGTCTTTGCCCTTTGGCTGTTGATGGCGCGTGCCAGCGTGGGAGCGTGAACTGGCACGAGATATCATCTGGCCGACAAGTTCGGAGATTTCGGAGGCGAAGAGGTCAGTCTCAAGTTCTGTCGAAAGCCGTTCATCTCTGGGCCGGCAGTTGCTGTTGCGATGGTCATCGGCACAGAGGCGCGGGCCTTTGCCAGGACGGAAGCATCGCTTCTTTGCCCAGCCCTGTGCAGCGAAACGTGCGGCACACGCCCCGTGGGCAAAATGGTTTGATCTTTGGGCCAGTTGTGGGGTTATCGTGAGGCCTCCTTCCGTTCCGACTCATCAGCTGGAGTTTCCCCAAAACACTTGGGATGGAGCTTCTTGAGCGGCTTTCAGTTGGCAGCCCTCCGATTTCAGGTTGGCTCTGAACCCCTGGTTCAGTGTCCGCTGGTTGGGTGACATCGACTGCGAGCGATGCCGGGCCTTCATGTGAGCGGGTTGGCGCTTTCCCGTTTAGGGCTCTAAGCTCAAATGATAGGGGCATTGCCAGTGCGAATTAGAGGGCTTTGGAGTACATCGTGCTATAACCACACCGGGATGAGAAGGGGCTACTAGAACTGACTCCTATAGTATAGGCATGTTTGGCTTTCGCTACCCAGGCAGCTCAGAGAGCTCCCGGTTGAAACGAAGGTTCTTATGATGCTTGTGATTACACGAGTAAGAGCAGGGACTCCTGGCGGCGGCATCAGGGCATTGCTTCTTCGAGGAAAGGGATTCCGACTGAAAGCCTTCAACATGTAGGGAGACCCCACAAGCTTCGCCTAGGAGGAAGCCTACCAAACCATGGTGTGGACTTAAAATCTCAAAAGCCCACGCCTCCTGGGGCTCAAAGCGCCCGGATAAAATCTAGCTGAGCCGACGAGCTGAAAAGCCCCCCCATGAAGAGGACAACTGAACGTCCGAGCCTCCTCCATGCGCCGCTCTGAAGCCAAGGATACTTGGTGGAGCATTATAACCACACCGATTTGCCACACTACTTCGCAAATGAGAAGAGGCCATTTTCCCACCTCCTCGGGTGTTCAAAGGTCAATCGCTCAAGAGTCTGCTGCTACAGCTCAGATCCCAGATCTTGAGACATAATTTGCAGGGCTGCTTCCTTATCAGATCATGGTGCCTTGCGGGTTCTGAATGCAAAGACTGTCAGGGGCAGCTACCGCAGCGATGTTTGCCGTGCGGCAGTGCTGGCGCGTGAGGGCGGTTTCTACACGGACCTGGACGTGGCAACTGGGCGGCATTATGTAAGCCAAGTTGGGTTTCGAAAGGGAAGGTCCAGTGATCTTGTTTGAGGTACGGTATGGCGTCAGTTTCTGGTCGTCATTTGGCCTCCCATCCAGCTGCTCTTATGATGCCGGCTTCCGACAGATTCAGATTTTCGCGTTTCGATGCCGCCAACCCAGACTGGTTGACGGGAATCCATTTGGTTCGTAGCTGCACGGAGTGTATATGGGCTAGAAACTATCCACTTAACCATGGCTATGGCAAAGAAGCTACATGCGTTCCAAATGAGGGGCATTCGCAAGATTCTAAACAAGGCTCCCACCTATATAGACCGTAAAAATACCAACGCAAAGCTTTTTGAAGAAGCAAGTATGATCGCATTTCCAAGCCGGGACGACCGACGACAGATACTATTATTCAGTGAGGCCATTATGTCATATACTTCGTTGTTCAAATTCAGATGCATTAAGACAGGCATCGTTTCTGCCCAGCAGTGCCACTAGAATTGATTATGGCAAGAAGCGAGTCGGGAAGCTCCGGCAGACTTGGATACACCACACAAAAAAAGTTGGTGTGCGAAGAGACGTTTGGAAGAATTTCGTATGATGAAACCCTGGCACAGGATAATCTCGTCTATAACGCAAGTTTGCTTTCTAAAGCGTCTGTAGAGGGTAAGCCTCCTTTTGCTGCGCCAACGCCGTGTTTTGAAGTTGACGTACAGTCGATTCACGGTATGGCTTTGGAAACAAACGTATAGTATAGTACAATATAATATAATATAGCATAATGTCATATAGTATGATTTAGCAGAATACCGTATAGTACAGTGTAGTATAGTAGAGTAGCGTAGAGTAGAGTAGCGTAGAGTAGAGTAGAGTATTGCATAGTGTAATATAATAGAACGGAGTAGAATACAAAGCCATATGGGACAATATAAGATCAAGTCATCTCATTTAATCTCACATACTATGATACCATGTAAAAACACTATAGCATATTTTACTATATGCATATAGTATACCACAGATAAGATGATATACTATACAATATAGATATAATATGATGTACTAGAATATACTATAATATACTATAATAGGATATAGTATAATATAAATATACCAAAGGTATAAAGTATCTATATAATCTAATGTAATAAATATATCATCCTCGCTCCTTTCCAAAGTGATGCCGGGCCTTTTCGGCGAGGAGATGAAGTGGACCTTTGAGGACCTGGCCGGCGAGGTCGGCACGGCAGTGTAGAGCAAGGTTTTTCAGGATTTTTTTTTTCGGGTTTTGGGTTTTAGGGCTCTTTGGGGTTTGGGGTTTTAGGGTTTTTACGGCTTTAGAGGTTTAGGGTTAGGGTAGGCTTTTTTTCGGTAACTTTAGGGTTTTAGGGCTTCGAGCCCTTGTGAGCGAGGGGGTGTTAGGGTTTAGGATGTAGTGCAAAGCTGCTGGCACACAATCCAAGCCCATGCTGAAAAGTGTAAAGCAACTGTAGCGGTCCGAGGCGGGGTATTTTAAGGGGGTATACAAGGGTGCGTTAAGGGTTTACGGTTCTGGGTTGGATTCACCTAGTGACGGTACACGGTCGACAGGGCGGCTGGTCCGTCGCTCCTAGCCTTGAACCTGAGTTCCGCGCACAGTGCCCAGAGTCCTTTTGATGTCCGGAGGCCACCACCTTCCTAGCAAGCTTCTCCGAGGCACGGTGACATATCCTAGGACATGTCGGTCCTTGTCAGGGTGTTCAGGTTCTGCTCTAACATCGATTCCCTGCGGCATGTGCGCAGAAGCTGAAAAGCCAGGTCTTTCCGGAGCGTACCTGGTACGCACAATATGTCACCAGCCAAAGCAGACAGCCTGTAGGACAAGAGCACTGACATCCAGCTCCACTGCTTCAAAACACAAGCTCCACCCGAGAGGACGGCAGCGTACTGAACGCGATGATGGGCACGGTGGCCAACAGCTCCTTCATGCAGGATCAAGTTGGCTGAACATGGGCCACACATTCTTGCTTTGGAAACAAAACCAACGAAGGTTGCAAGTCGCCTGAAGTGAAGTCTCACAATCACCCTACTAGATAATAGCGCTCCGGCAAGTTGCTTTGCAGGAGATGTTGCAGCAACTTGTGGCTTGGTACAGGCCTGTGTAGGGTGAAGTTGCGCCATGGCCGCTTCTGCCCTCTTCACAGCGTGCACCACGCACGAGATGCCAACTGCTTTTCTTGTTGCGGGTCGAGCACATTGCTCGGAGTTGTGCTCAACAAGATCTTCCGACAGGCATGCCGGCACAATTATGTGCTTCCAATTCCCCCGGCTGCCGCGAAGCTTGAACTGTGAACCACCTGCCAGACAGAGGAACACTAAGACGAAAGATGACATCTCTGTCTGTGCTTTGGCCATCTAGTGTGAAGGGCGAGAGGGTGCTGAGGTCTGAACCCCAATCACTATTCCGACCAGCCGTGGCGAAAGATCCCTTCATGTGGGCTGTGTCGTCGCAGTTCATGGAAAGATGTCGGAATGTCAAAGGACTGAACAAAAGCTGCGAGAATCAAAGCAAACTCCGCACTTGGTTTTGCTGCAGGGGCGAGCCTGTGGCAGAACGCTTTGGGACGACCTCCGAGTGCGCCCACACGGGACACGTCTTACTTCTCGAGCACACGGTTTTTGTGAAGACCTGTAAGCGGTGGCTTGCAGTATGCATGCTTTCTTTCCTCCTACAGTGTTTGTCTGAGTTTCAGGGCGGGCAGTTTGTCGGGCCGAGGAAATGAGGTCTGCAGACTGCAGCCCTCTCGCCTAAGGTGGATGGGGCCTGTTGCTGCACTTGCTGCCTTGAAGGCTGCGGGGGCTGTGCAGGAGGAGGGACAGACTCGATGCGGGATGATCAGGGCACGATCCGAGGGCGGTAAAGTCAGCAGGGCTACTTCTCTACCTTTTGAAGCGAAAGGCCAGCATGTCCCGAAGCTCCCATGCATGTTCTCTTACACCCCGAAATTCTACACAACTGCTTGAGGCTTGCGGGGCAAGCATTTCCCACAAAAAGCTTCGAACTCCTGCAGTTACTTGTAGCAGTCGCGCAGAGAAGCTTCCATTTCAGGAGGCTGAAGTACCAAGCCACCCGCAGGCTTCAGAAAATGGGGATAGGGTCATCATTGAGTCATAGTGAGGAGGACCTTATTATCCAGGGTTCGAGTACTGTCTTGTGGGTCAAGCTGGGCAGTAAGGGCAGCAGTCGAGTCCCTTGTGAAAAAAAATCTTTCGGCTTGTGGAATGCTTTTGACTCAGCAGCGCCAGGCGGTGACTGCTCGTGACTGCCCGGGGAAGGACTGAAGCTTTCATTGTCCGTCTGATGTGTCTCAAGCCTGTAGCATGTAGATGGTGGCTATGACGCTGCCTGTGGATACTGCAGAAGAATGACTTCGACTTCGTCCGCGCAAGTGCCACTGGGCTGAATCTACCCTGTTAGGAGCTTCAGGATGTGGAAGGGGCAGAAATTCCTTGCGGTCAGCAGCTCAGAGAGGAGAGCTTCAGGTGAAGAGGAGTGTCTCACATTATTTCTCTCCAGCACTACCCTTTTCCTCTCCCACGTGTCCCGAGGTCCACATGTTGTCCGCATGTTCCAGGCAACGGGCAGAGAACAACTTCGAGAATCTTTGGAGGGGCATGCAAGTGCAGAAGGGTAACGGTTGCTGCCTGCTTTCCTCGACATCTCATTGCCATTGCCGTACTTCAGCTATCGGGTTTCTGCGGTGGCAGAACCCGTATATTTCCAATACAAGAGCGAGGGACGAAGGCGTCTAATCCGGCTTAGAAGAGCTTGGATTCCTGTTTTGCAGGAACGGGCCCTGCCGCGCTTTGGCCAGCAGTGAGCAGGGTGAAGGGCACTGATGCATGTCATCTGTGCAGGCTGCAAGGTCTAAGCTGTCCGGTGTGACGACGAGATGAGGGGTTCAGGGTGGGAGATCGTGGACATGTGCAAGTTAGAGCAGCTGCGCAGACACTAGGACGTCAGTCATCGTCGGTCTACACGTATTCGAGAGCTTCAGTCGTTGCCACGCCTCTTGTGAATCAATGTTCATGTTCCATGATCAAGTCTGTGAACAGGAGTCAGAGCAGGACTGGGCGTAGCCGCTAGGATGCTTTGTTCCTCAATTCTTTGTCGAGGTGCTGGTTGCCTGAAGACCCGGAGTTCTGGCTGCAGCCTGTGGTTCATGATGCCAGCACCCAGCAACGGCGGCACCCATGTGCATCTTACGAGTAATCAGTTCACAGAGGAAGGGGTATCCGCGTCACGAAGGATCCAAGGTTAGCGGCAGTGGTTGTGACATTGCAAGGACTGCCCTCCTCTGCGCTACAACAACTATTTTGACGGCGTGCGATATGGCATCTACGTCCCGCCACTTGCTCCAAGCACAGCGGCGGCTTGCCGGATCCTCACAGCATGCACCTTTAACTTTAACCCTCTGCCATCAAGAGGTCTGCAGGGCTCGATTTGAAATCTTGTAGACTCCGAGACGAGCAACAAGCCCGGAAGAAGTGACAGCCAACAACAAACACCATGCTACGCGCCCACTGCACCTCAACGTAGCTTTGTTACAACATGGAGCGCAGCCCTGGAATTCTTCGACGTTTTCATGATATGTTTGAAGACACGCTCGAAATTGAACTTCAAACCCGCAATTAGCAGAAGCTCTATCTGTCTGTTCTCTCAGATATGGGCCTCTTGTCGCCTGGCCCCGCTTTGCGAACTGCACGGACTGGGGACGCTCGCCTGGAGAATGTGATGGGAGCAACAGGGGGCGTGGGCGAGTTCCCTTGAGTTTAGGCTGCGGGGCAATTCCTCTTGCTGCCCCTGCTAACCACCTCCAATGCCACTGCACGAATCGAGAAGTGTACAAAAAGCTGCCACTGCTTCTGCTACTGTGCGGCTGCTTCTAGCACTACCACCACTGACCGCTCCTTGCTGCTGCGTCCACTGCTCCTGCTAATTAATTACGACTACCCTTGCTAATCTGGCTTGCCATTACCGATTGCTGCAACATGAGCTGTCTAAGCGGGTGTTCGAGTGGGTCGAGGGTCTGACAACATCCTAGGTGGTGTAGCTGTCTTGCGAACTTTCGACGGGTCCTTCGATACGAGGTTCTTTTCGCCTGCATGCCTGCCCGCAAGCGAAAACCACCTCTCTCGCTCTCTCTCGCTCTCTCTCGCTCTCTCTCTCTCTCGCGCTCTCTCTCTCTCTCTCTCTCTCTCTCTCTCTCTCCCTCTCCCTCTCTCCATGCATGCGATTGTCCAGGTTGTGATGCCGGCGGCTGGGTA